GAATTATTATTATTATTATTATTATTATTTCAAAGTTAAATAATTCAAATATTTACATTTTCTCGAAATTATTGTGTTGATATGAAAATTCTAATTAAGACAGAAACAAATATTTTTATCTTCATATTTCACGGTCATAGAGAACTTTTATATATTTTTGCGTTGAATTTTACATTGATAATAACGAACATAACAGGAAACTGTAAAATGCAAATATGTATAATTTGAAGTGTCAATTGTCTAATAGTTTGTGTCCTGGCTGTCAATTTAACGGTCATGGGTTCGAATCCCGGAGCTGCAGTATCGCGAACCATATCTTAACAAATTCTTACCTGTAATTATTATAATAAATATGAGTAAATTAACCAAAATATATTAATATCTACTATTATAATATATATACTATTATAATAAAGCGTAAACACACACTTCTTTGTTGCCTAAGATGTCAGCAATTACAGCATATTTTTGAATACCTCTTTTGTTAATAAAAAGCCCTACACTTACGTCACGTTTTAGGCTATATATTTTTACGCCGTTAAACTTAGGGGTAAATATTTTGGATAAATCCCTAATGTTGGAAAGAGACCATAAGTTATTGCCAACATCAAGGTAGCAAGGTTGCCATGGTTTGACATCATGTCATTTTGACATTTGCTATTGATAATTTGACAAATGTAAACTATAAAATAAGATTTTCATTAATTTTAAGATTAAGCCGCACAGGAACAGCTAGTTTTAAATAAAAAAAAAATAATTTTCTTTGATGTTTCAGGTTACATCAATCATCATACGGATTCATCACAGTGCTATCAAACGAACATACAAAAAATCTACAAAGATACATCTTTATCACAATTAGATAAAGAACTAGATATGACATTAAAAGAGATGTCCAGAAAAAAACCACCTTTAGTCCCTAAAAAACCATTCCGAGATCTAGATCAATCAGATTCCAACTCAGATCAAGAATCTAGACCTAAAATGTCAGGGATAATGGCTAAAGTATCAAAATTCGAATATTACGCTAAACAACAAAAATGCGTGGGTAGAAGTCAATTTTATACAACAAATGATAATGAGATATCACCAAAAGTGTTCAGTTCCAACTCTTTGACAGTGAATACGCCAGCTAAAGACGTATTAGGTGATAAAATAGTTCCCAATTATATGACAAAATTCAAACACGAACAGAAAATGATAATATTAAATGAGAATAATCTTGAAACGAAGAACTCTAACATACGGAATAAAACTAAAATCGACGATATCGTAAGAAACTTCGACGATACCAAACTTCCTAAGAAAATAAACAATGAAATGAGATCGGAAAATGTATACGGTCGTATTAATTCTGAATCTAAAAGTAATCTAGATTGTAGAAACAATCTGGATGAAGAATGTTCTAGAAGGGACCAGAAAGGGGTTGTGACGTCATCTTTTGATAGGAGTCCGCAATATCTACCAGTTTACAGCAACTGTCAATATGAAAGAAGTGATGCTGAAAATATGAGAATAAAGGTATGGATTTTATTTTTTACTTTTGCTCACGAATACGTTCGCGTGAAATAAAAAAATATAGCCTATGTTACTCACAGACGAACCTTAGTAATGGAGAAAGAATTAAAAAATCAGCCCAGTAGTTTTTACATGAATCAAATGCATACAAAAACACAAATCTTTCCTTTTTATAATATTAGTATAGTAGTTTAAAAACAAAAATGTAGCCTATATGTTGTTCCAGACTCTCCTCTACATCTGTGCCAAATTTCATCTAAATCCGTTCAGCAGTTTAGGCTACAAACTCTAACAAACATCCATCCATCTAAACTTTCGCATTTATAATATTAGTGACTTATGTGTTTTTGTTTTAAAATATAATACTTGTCACAATGGCAACTCTAAAATTAAACTAAAAAATAATTTTTTGATCTATGAGTATATGCTTAACTTTGATTCATTGCATTTATTTTACACTAGCTGTTCGCATGCGGCTTCATCCGCATGAAATTATAAATTTATTGTTTGTATTTGTCAAATTCTTTATTGCAAATGACAAAATACCAATTACCTTAATATGGCAATCTTGCTTCCTTGATGTTGGCAACTTATGGTCTCTTTCCCAAATTAGGGTTTTTATCCAAAATGTTTACCCCCTAAGTTTATTGCCGTGAAAATATATAGCCTAAAGCGTGACGTAAGTGTAGGGCTTTTTATTAAAATATTATTCAAAAACATGCTGTAATTGCTGACATCTTAGGCAACAAAGAAGTGTGTGTTTACGCTTTATTATAATAGTATACATTAAAGTAGTCAAACCAACTTATTTGTTTTAACACCGCAAATATTGTACCTCTCATTCACGAAACCTTTAATCTTTACAGTACACAGATAAAAGATAAAATTAAACGAATAAGTAATTGAAATTAAGGAAACAATAGCGTTATCTAAAGATATCGTTTGACGTAATGATAAACCTCTGCGGCTCTATGCGACAAAACATGGCAGTTTGCTAACGAGCCTTTGTCTAGATTCACGCGAATTAAAAAAAACGATTTATTTTTTTCTTACGTCAACTGTCAAAAATGACAATGGCCAGTAACGAAATGATCACTAGAAAAGCCTAAAAAATAAAAAAAGGCTTCTATATTTTTGTGAATTGTGTTACAATATTGAATAGTGCTTTTTTATGTCAGTGTTCATGTAAATTAGATATTTTAAAAGTGAAAAAATTGAAAATGATTTACAAACCCGTTCAGATTGATAAAAAGCAAAATTCGAATAATCGACTTTTAAAATCATTCGTCAAAACGATAAAACAAAATACGTTCGCATTGAAAGAGTTGAAATTATCCATAGACAAAAACAATGTGCAGAACGACAGTAATAAAATATTTGAACTAACTAATTCTGTGAACGAAAAGTTAGAGATAGTTCATAAACTTCGAAATGACATAAAAATATACCGAACAATTAATACAGTGTTAACGAATCATTATATTAAAAAAACGAGAGACCACGAGAATACAATAGATAATAAAATAATAAAACTACAAGCACAGATAAAACAATCCTACGACGAATTGAAAGCAATGATTTCCAAAATGGCCGACTCAAAATGTGTTGCCAGTGACAAAATCTCCGCACCAATAAAGAATAGTAATGTTTTTCTAGTTGGTAATGATTTAAAATATAATCAAATTAAAGAATTCAAATTTAAAACTGAGATTTATAATAATATTCTTAAAAAGATCGATAAACTTTTTGGAGGTATGGTAAGTTTCCGTCTTTACTCATTATGGCAATATTTAGAAGTATTTTGCCTTCAGATAGAAAAATATATTAAATATTAATTAAATGTAGTATACAGTTTATAGTCACACTTAAAATAAGTACAGTAGGACCACGATAAGTTAAAGTCCAAGGGAAACACAGAATATTTTAAGTTATAGAGGTTTTAAGTTGTCAAGGGTCTGTGTTACATTAGAGGACGTTTGAAAGTAGCGCCAGTGGTGGAGAAATTGAGAAGAAAAGGTTAGTGTGGTATGGACATGTGCGGCGAGACGATGGAGACATAAACATGAAAGTGTTAAGATTAAATGTGGATGGCTACAAAGGAAGAGGAAGACCGAAGAAAATATGGATGGATTGTGAGAAAGATATGCTTAAGAAAGGAGTGGATTCAGATATGGCTGATAGAGATGTATGGAAGCAGCACATACTGTGCCAACCCTCCGTAAGGGATAAGGGCAAGTGGATGATGAAGGGTCTATGTTATAGAGGTTTTAGGCTCTGATGGGAACATATTGTTTTTTGAAGTTATAGAGGTTTTTAAGTTACCGAAGTTTGAATTATCGAGGTCCTACTGTACTTATACTTAATAATGGATGGATGTTTCTAGAAGTTATCTTTAAAACGGTTCAACAGATCTTGCAAAAAATCTTATAGTTTTAGAAGTCTGGAACAACACGTATAGGTTTAAAAAAGGTTTTTTTTAATTCCTCGCAGACAGTCGCGTGCAACCGCTAGTATATAAAAAGGTGTCAGAAACCGATTCACGGTACCCTTATCAAATTAATTAACACAGATAATCATTGCGTAGTATTTGTATAATTTAATCAGTATGTTTAAACGCATCGTGAACATAAATTGTCTATTCCAGGCTTACCAGGACAGAATTAAAGAAGAAGAACAGAAGGAGGCAGAAACTGCTCGGTTAGAGGAAATACTGAACATGTGCGCGGAGTATGAAAGGCAGATAGCCACAGGTATGTTATAACTAGCTATAAATATTGATGTTAAAATTGTACAATCGCGGAAATTCGCGGTGTTTGACTAAAGGAAATTGCCCTGTTTATTATGAGAGAAACTCCGCCTCTTGCGGATGAAAGGAGATTGCATGTGGTTGAGATGCGTATGTTTTTTTTTAAGATGGATGTGTGGTGTGACAGGAATGGATAAAGTTAAGAATGTGTACATTAGAGGGAGTTTGAAAGTAGCGCCAGTGGTGGAGAAATTGAGAAGCAAAAGGTTAGCGTGGTATGGACATGTGCGACGAGATGGGGACATAAACCTGAAAGTGTTAGAATGAATGTGGATGGCTACAAAGGAAGAGGAAGACCGAAGAAAGTATGGATGGATTGTGTGAACGATATGCTTAAGAAAGGAGTGGATTCAGATATGGCTGATAGAGATGTATAGAGCAGCACATACTGTGCCCCTCCGTAAGGGATAAGGGCAAGTGGATGATGAAACTCCGCCTCTTATAAATAATTGGATAGCAGTTAATGCAAATGGGATAATAATAAAAAGAAACTAGCCATTTTTGTTCCGCGTCTCGTTTCAAAATGTTCAAATGATTGTAGCTATAAGTTGGAACCGCCAGTTTCCCTGACTGTACGTAATTTGGGCACACTCCATACATCTCTCTCAGTATATGAACTCCATACACATATCCTCTTCCATACAATCCACATACATTTTTCCGTCTACCTTTGTAATATAACGTACTATAGTTTGATAAAAATGCTTAAAATCTATTGACATACATTTGTTATCATAAGCTGGTAATCTTTTGTTTATTAATCTTTAGTAATATAAAGAGAAAAGATTTGTATTTTTGTATGTATTGAAATAACTCAAAAACTACTGGACTGATTTCAAAAATTCTTTCACCTTCACTTGTATATATTAAGCTTATGTCCACGACTCCGTCCGCGTGGAATTAAAAAAAAATAAGTAGCCTATTTTATCTTCCAGACTATGTTTGACATCTATGCCAAATTTCATCCAGATCCGTTCAACAGCTTTGGCTACAAACATTAACAAACATCCATCCATCTAAACTTTCACAATTATAATAATACTAGCTTTCGCCCGCGACTCCGCCCGCGTGGAGTTCAAAAAAAGAAAGAAGATCCTTTCAGCCGTTTAGGCTACAAACTCTAACAAACATCCATCCATCCATCTAAACTTTCACATTTATAATATTAGTAAGATTAAGAAGTAATATGAATTTATTTTTGTTTCAGGCAACCCCATAACTCCGACAGAAAAGAGGTCACATAATAAAATTATCACAAACGGATCTCTACCGCGCAGTGTCGCCCTCAACAATCCCAACTTCATACAAACCAGTGACGGATATTACAAGTAAGTTTTAAAAAACAACAATAAGGGAATAAGGAAAATTGTTCATATAATAGATTTACTACTTTTTGCCCGCGAGCGTGCTCGTGGAATTAAAAAAAAGTGAGAAGTCTGTGTTCTTTCAGACTTATATATACCAAATTTCATCAAAATCCATTCTGTAGTTTAGGCTATAAACTCTAACATCCATCCATCTAAACTTTAGCATTCATAATATAATATTAGTATTATTAATGCTTGTTATTCTTAAGATGTTCGAAAGAATTTTATGTCTACTATCTCTTTCTACGTAATATAGTTAGAAAGAGAGAATATCAAAGTATAATTTGATTAAAAATTCGATTATTTCTAGATTCGATACAACCAATAGGACAATGAATAATTCCTTACCTTTACAAAGGAATCTATCCAATTACGAAAACTTCGATGAAACACAAGACCAAATAACACCAGAAGTAACTATCAACGATATCGGTAGAATGGACGAAATAGGTATACCCATCTTTGATGAAGAGTTCACAGAAATATCTAGTCCTATACTAATAAGAAAAAACGGTGAAACATCACCTAGTAATAGTCCATACGAAAATATGTATTTCAAAAACTACAACTTCAAACCAAAATCACCTAACACACAAAGTCCAAGAACCAGAATAAAAACCACCTTCGCACATAAGAATCTCTCACCACAATACTTTGTATTCCCAACAGAAGTTATAAATAAAAAAGAAACTAAATGTGCAGGTATAGAAAAACAACTAAGTCTAGATGACGAAATACCTATGATAGATGACACAGATTTAGCTAACGATCTAGAATTCAGGTATTCTAAAATATATAACGATAAAATAGAAAATCCAACAAAAGAATCAAGTCCAGTAGAAATAGATATTGAAAAAACTATAATAAAAAACAAAAGCTTCGATGACGTAAAGAAAGAATTAATGGCAGATATACCTGAGTTGGAAGAATTTGAAAAAGATCTCAAAGATAATAAACGAGATAAAATAATTAAGAACATAACAGAAGATGTTAGGAAAATGGATTTAGAAGCAAGTTCTATAGATAGTGCTGTTTTGGACGATAATGTAGATGATTTAAAAACTAAATACGATAGTTTTAAAGAAGAAAGAAAGAAATTAGTTGCTGAAATTCATGAATTAAAATGTAAAATGTCAGAAATTAGATCACAAGAAGATGATATTTTACGAGACGTAAGTTTCTTACACTTTATAATAATATATCGTAAAGACACACTTTCTTTGTTATTAAGGATATCAGCCATCACATTTTGTTTTTAAATAACCATTTTTTTATATAAAAAACCATGTACTTACGATAGTCCATAGGCTTTAAAATTTCACGCTATTTACTTTAGTTATGAGTAAATTGAAAAAAAGTTATGTTAGAAAGGGACAAAAACTACAAGCCAATAGCAAGGTTACCATGGTAACAGAAATTGTCAGTCAATGGCAAATGCCTTGGTTGTCATTTGAAATTTAAAGTTATACAAATGTAAACGATATAATAAAAAATCATAATTTTATGCAAATGAAGCCGCACGACAATCGCTAGTCTTAAATAATTGTAATTTTTTATTTCAGTTGGAAATGGAGAAAGCCCTAATCAAAGGAGAATACGATTCAGAGATAGCGATATTAAATATAGAACAGAAGAAGAAAGCGGAATTAACAGAGAACGCGAAGAAGATAGAGGAAGAGATCAAAGAGTTGAAGGAGAAACAAGAAATACGACAGAACGAAATAAGAGAAAGAGTTGAAATCGCAACTAAGAAAGTTGAAAGGTTAGTTTACTTTGAATTTTATAAGAAAATATCTCTTTTCGTTCCATACACATCATCATCCACTTGCCCTTATCCCTTACGGAGGGTCAGCACAGTATGTACTGCTCCATACATCTCTATCAGCCATATCTGAATCCACTCCTTTCTTAAGCATATCTTTCACACAATCCATCCATACTTTCTTTGGTCTTCCTCTTCCTTTGTAGCCATCCACATTCAATCTCAACACTTTCAGGTTTATGTCTCCATCGTCTCGTCGCACATGTCCATACCACGCTAACCTTTTGCTTCTCAATTTCTCCATCACTGGCGCTACTTTCAAACTTCCTCTAATCGTTCCATACACAATTCTAAAAATTGCATATTTTCACTATTATCAGTAAATCAGCTTTTTTTATAGAATCAAGCTACTTTATGTTACAATTTTCACAAAACATATTAAATATCCCACTGATCTCTATAAATAGATAGGTCATTGTTTAAAAAATCTTTGATCTGATTTAGACAAATCAGTTAAAATCCTATGTTTTATTTATTGGAATATACAATACCGTCACCAATCATTACATTTAGCTACAAATTGGTGAAAAATAAATACAAACTAGCTGTTCCCGTGCGACTTCATTCGCATGAAATTATGAAAATTGTTTTATTGATTACATTTGTCAAATTCAATTGCAAATGTCAAAATGACATGACATAATGACAATGTGTGGCAATTTTGTTTCCTTGATGTTGGCAGCAACTTATGGTCTCTTTCCCACATTAGGGTTTTTATCCAAAATATTTACACCCTAAATTTAATGGCGTGAAAATATATAGCCTAAAACATGACGTAGGTGTAGGGCTTCTTATTAAAAAGATAATTATTCAAAAATATGCTGTAATTGCTGACATCTTAGGCAACAAAGAAGTGTTTGTTTACGCTTTCGTATAATAGTATAGAAGTGTAGATATGATATTTACATTCACAGAAGAATTACATATTACTTTATATTACACACACATAAAGAAAAGGAGAAACTAAAATTAAAACGATCTAAGGGACCCGATACCGATTTTAATATAATTAAAATTTTTGATTTTTATAGATTAGAAAAAGATTTAAAAGAGAACGCGGCCACTTTAGAGGAATTACAAAACGCGCAGGACATTTTGGATAACGAATCGAAAATCTTCGAAGATTTAGAGTTCCAGCATTTGGAAGAGGAATCAGAGTTGTAAGTTGTATTTCAGTATAGATTAAGTAACATTTAGAGAGAGAATTAACTCAGGAAGACCCTACATTAAAGGCTTGTTTTAATAATAATTACGAGAAAGCTACAATTTACTTTCAAATTATTACAGTAATCATATTTATACATAGTGAAAGGGACGATCTTGTACGGGGAGGATTGCGCGAATAAAATAAATAAGAAGTAAACCAAAACTAAACAACTTTTAATAAGATTTACAAATTGAGAAATATATGTACAATTCAGCCTAGCGTTGTGACATCTTCTCGAAGACTACTTCAATTATTTACAAAAGAATTAATAAAAAAATGTACATTCTTATTTTAAAAAGGATTAAAAATAAAGACACAAAGAGGTTTATTGAATCGCCAACACATAGACCATGTGTTTTTTTTATTCTTAACTGGTTTTCACCCACGAGTCCATCCGTGTGCAATAAAAAAATTAAAAGTAAGTGGTCTTTGTGGCCTTCCAGATTATCCTCTACATCTATGACAAATTTCATAGAGAACCATTCAGCAGTTTAGGCTACAAACTCTAAAAAAAACATCCAACTAAAACATTCGAACTTATAATATTAGTAAAATTAATTTAAGCATATTACTGGTTTCTTCAGTTCTGTCGTGTACATTTATTGTTTTATTTCAGATTAGCAAATAGAGAAGATATACAGAACGAAATCATTTCATTAACAAAGAAGATAGACGCACAAAAAAGTAGAATACTAACATTAAAATCTGAAGCCAATAATAATCTGACATCAGCATTAGACGAAACTAAAATATTACAATCTAGATATGTGAAATTACTAAACCAAGTGGAAGAATTAACGGGCAAAGTGCAAACTATAGAGAAAGAATTAAAACCGATTGTAACTAAATTGAACGATATCGAACGAACACAGTCACCTGATAGTGCATTTTACACAGACCAGACAAGAGCGAAATCTGACGAATTCGGTTATTCCCCTCAAACTTCTGACAGCGATGAAATCGATATAAAAATAACAAACTTCGAAGATCATACAAAACATATCAAAGACAAATTCAATTCCATAGATCAGATGTCTCAATCTATGATCGTTGATTTGGGACGTGACGTCACAGAAGTTAACGAAACTCGCTTAAGCGAAAGCCCGTCTAAATCTTCTACTTCTTCTAAAGAGAAGAAAGGATTTTGGGAGAGGAATTTCGATTCTTTAAAGCGGAAAACCAAAGATAAGAAGAAACCGGACATTATGTCACAGAGCTTCAACGAGAATATCTTCTATAACAGTGAAAATATAGAAATAGATTTAGATAAATTCAACAGTTTAAGACATTCTAAAAAGAATAAAAATAACGGTCCATTAAAAAGTAACTCGTCATCAAAGATACCAACATTCGCAGCGCTAGGGAAGATAATTAAAAAAGATTCGTTTAAAAAACATAAAATAGACGAAGTTAATGAAAAAAACCGTTACGTTAAAAACGTTAAACCGGTAACTGATAATAAATATAAATCGAAATCTTTGTCACCTGATAAAGTACCAAATGAAATTAACAATAAGAATGAATTAGCTAAATCAATGACGGTTACTTTCGAAAGAACAGATTTTAATGATTCAGGAACTAAATTATTGTATAGAAAGAGTTGTGGAGACGAACCTAATAGGAGTTTAGAGTATAAAATGTCGGAAAGCGGTAAAATTCCATCACAAGATGACATAGATCGTATATCGAAGGTGACAATGGACGCCCCCATACTGACAAGTGACACAGACATGAATTCTCTAGGTAAAAGGACATTGGACAGTCTGATGGAAATAGAAAGAAAACGTATCGAAATGTTGGAAGAACAAGGTAAGTTTATTAAGAAATTTTTAGGTATTTTCATATTTATTTTAATCACAATAAAGTTTATAATATAGTATTTATAGATAATTTTCAGGTCAAATTAACCTCTTTTATATTTTTTAAAATTTCTTTCAAATTATTTATTGGCTCTTGGCTGAGAATTTAAGTAATCATAGCAACCTCTTTTGCTGCTATTGCCTTGAATTATCTGTCACTTTCTTGTAGAGCATTTTCTTCCAATTTATTGCCCCCCTAAGGTTAATAGCGTGAAAATATATAGCCCATATCGAGTTGTAAGTATTGATTGTTCTATGTTATATTAGGGTGTAAAAGGAATTACGCTTCAGAACTAAACATATCCAATTGTTGATTTTTTAAAAGCTACTAACTGTAATGCCTTATTAAAAATAATTAATAGTTACGCAAAACATATTAATATGTTAAATTGACAATGACAAATAATTTCAGGATGCCAAGTAATAGAAAACGAAAGAGAGAAGATATCAGAATTAAAACGCAGAGCTCAGGATGAAACCAAAAAGCTATGGGACCAGAAGAACAGAATAGGACAGGCGAAGTCATTCGACGGTGACGTCACAGAGAACGACCGAGCACGTGACGTCATACTCGACAGACACGTGAACGACAGACTTGACAGACACGTTAGTGAAGTCAGACCTGATAGACACGTCAATGACGTCAGACCTGATAGACACGTCAACGACGTCAGATCTGATAGACACGTCAACGATGTCAGACCTGATAGACACGTCAGCGACGTTAGATCTGACAGACACGTTAGTGAAGTCAGACCTGATAGACAAGTCAACGACGTTGGAACTGACAGATACGTTGGCGACGTCAGACCTGATAAATACGTCACTGATGACGTCAGATATGGAGTGGACGACGCGAGTGTGACAGATGACGCGTTTAATCTAACCAGCTCGACTATATTTGAAGAAAGGTGAGTTAAAATCAATTATATTCTTTTTTTTATTATTTTCTTTTACCATGATAATGCCATCTGATGTTAAGGTAGTCAGTAGATTGTATTCTTGTTTAGTAAGTGCATATTGTGTCCCTCTACAAGCTCCTTGAGAACCTCCTTCTTTTTGGAAGTCGATCAAAAATAGACCAAATACTCCCTTTGGCCCGCGATTTCGTCTGTAATTAAAAAACATGTAGGTTACCTTTGTGTTCTTCCAGACTATCCTCTACATCTGTATTAAATTTAATCGAGATTCGTTCAGCAGTTTAAGCTACAAATTCTAACAAACATCCATCCATCCATCCATCTAAACTTTCGCATTTATAATACTAGCTTTCGTCCGCGACTCCGTCCGCGTGGTTTTAATAAAAACAAAAGAAAGTAACCTATGTGTTCTTCCAGACTATCCTCTACATCTATGACAAATTTCATTAAGATCCGTTCAGCCGTTTAAGCTACAAACTCTAACAAACATCCATCCATCCATCCATCCAAACTTTCACATTTATAATATTAATAAGTATGATTAGTAAGATTGTGAGTTTGTCGATTGTTTCGCCTCGACTGTTTAGTTGCACAACTAAAAATCGAGTAGTATACCTCCATAAGCTCATAGGAATCAAAGCGAGACTAAACATTATTATCTCCCCCGCCTTATCCTACTCCCGTAGGGTCGGCGCACCGGGTTTTCGTCCGGGTTTTCCTCCTCTATTATCCGTCATCTCAGTCATCACTCCCTTCTTGATCATGTCACCTTTCACGCAATCCATCCATCTCCTTCTAGGTCTACCTCTACCGATGTACCCCTCCACATTCATAACTAACATCCTTCTTGTTACATGCGATTCATCCCTTCTCATAACATGCTCATACCACTCTAACCTTTTACTCCTTATTTTCTCAACCACTGGGGCTACTCTCAAACTTCCTTTAATATTCTCATTTCGTATATTATCCAATCGTGTTACCACACATCCATTTTAACATTCGCATTTCCGCCACATGTATTCTTTCATCCGTCCCTAATCGTCTCCGTTTATCAAAGCGAGACTAAACAGTTGTGCGATAGTTTAGTCAATACGCACGCTCTCAAGATTAGATGTATGCTATGAAATGTAATCAGTCAATGATAAGCTATCGCTTAGTTACGACGCGACATTCGTACTAACCACACGTGTGTGAATATTACGAAATAGACAATTGCATAGTGTAAAAATCTATTAGATAAATATTTGAGTGTTCTAATTAAAAATTTGGAGTGTAAAAGTGAATTTTATGAGTTAAAAGTATACGATTTTAATTTGGAACATTTTTTGTAATTGAGAATACAAGAAAATACGTTTTATTGTATAATTAACCCTTACTTCGATAGTGTCCAGACAAACAACCAATTTATAAAATCTACTGAACTAGTTTAAAAAAAAAACATACAGACGAATTGAGTACCTCCTTTTGGGAAGTCTGTCAAAAAAATACTTAAGATATTGATTTTACTGTGTTGGTAACATAATACGTCTTTGCTAAAAAAAAAAACTCCGTCGAAGGGTTAAGGGGAAATATTTCAGAGAAAGCCTTTCTTAATATGATCAAAGGATATTTCAGTTTATTACACATTTCAAATTAATTCTTAAATCTTCTAAATACTAACCTCAAAATATATATTTACACGTTATTACCAGTTTTGTTGAAAAACTTGTTCTTTAGTGGAATTTGTAGACAAACAGAAACTTCGCTTGTTTAAATTCAAAGAAATGTACATTTTCTCAGTAATATAAACATCAATAAAAGAAAGGAATTACCGGCTATTGTTCGTATGGATTTCATAATTATCTTTAAGTAAATAACTTAGGTACTAGTTTTAGTAAAAATCTAGAATTAGAATAAAATAAGTATGAGAAAAATAAAGTATTTAAGCCATAAAGTGAGATACAAATAATGTAATCTTACTTCTTACTAATATTATAAAAGCGATATTTTAGATGGATGTTTGTTAGAGTTTGTAGCCTAAACTGCTGAACAGATCTGGATAAAATTTTGCATATATGTAGAGGATAGTCTTGAAGACTACATAGGCTACTTGCTCTTGTTTTTTTAACTCCACGCAGATGGTATCGCGGGCGAAAGCTAGTAAAATCGTTATAAGATAGGAAAATCAATTCCAACAGATGCATTTTAATTCTTGTCTTTTTTTTTATTTTTTTTTTAATTCTTGTCTATACTAGACCAAATCAATCGCTTCAAAAGTCGTTTTAAATTCACGTAATTAGTCACAATTGCTGCATACATTTGTAACAGAGATATTTATAGTCGAAACAGTACAAAAATATAGTCAACCTTGTTTTTATTCCTAAGAAAGAACGGGACGACTATATGTTTCTTGTATGCGATAGCATCCTTATTAATAACAAAACAATGAAACTATAGAAATGATATAATCTGTAAAAGCATTGCTAATTTCAGTGCCAATTCTTGTCTAAAATAATAATAAGTGGTCAACTTGACGCTGGAATACAGGATGTTCTAAATATTAACAAATTTGGTAAAAAAAATTAATCGATCAGAGAACAAACTTAGTTAATTTTCTATATTATTCATATTAATGGAATTTAAATATCTTAAAGATATTCAGAAAACTAACATAGCAATATCCAGATTGTTTAGTTAAACGAAACGACCTTGAACGACCTCCCCCATATTAAAATATCCAGGCCAAAGGAAATCATATCTGCACACAAATGAATACACACATTCAAGCGAATATATCCCCTATGTCTATGAAGTAAGATATTATAATCGGTAATAGATACGTTGACATCGTTCCATTGACCGAATACGGTTTACAACGAAAGGCATCAACGTGAATCTATTATGACGCATTGTCGTCTTATAGTATACAGCGTGTTATATTTATCGAAAATTTAAATTATATCAGTTCTATAAAATGATTTATAACACCCAAGAGTTTTCCAAAGTGTTTATTTTACTAACCTATATGTAAACTGTATCATAGAGTCCTAAATA